TGTCTGTGTCTGTGTCCCTGTGTCTGTGTCCCTGTGTGTCTGTGTTTGTCTATGTCTGTGTGTCTATGACTGTGTGTCTGTGTGTATGTCTGTGACTGTGTCTCTGTGTCTGTGTGTCTGTCTGTGTCCCTGTGTCCGTGTCTGTGTGTACACGTATATAGAGGCCAGAGGTTGACATCCTGTGTCTTCCTTGATTATTCTCTACTTTAACTTTTTTTAATTTGGTGCAGACTCTCTCACTAAACCCAGAGCTCACAGTTTGACTGACCTGGCTGGCCAGCAAACCCCAGGGGTCTCCTGTGTCACCTCCCCAGGGGTCCCCTGTGTCACTCCCCCCAGCCCTGGGATTACAGGCAGGCACCACTGCACTGGCTTTTGCATGGGTGCAAAGGATCCAAATTTAGGTCTTCACGTGTGTACATCAAACACTGCCAGTTACCCAGCTCTCCAGTCCCTCATGCTTTATTTTGCCTGTGTCCCAGTTCCCTGTCCAGGAGATACAGATTCTCTCTCTCTCTCTCTCTCTCTCTCTCTCTCTCTCTCTCTCTCTCTCTCTCTCACACACACACACACACACACACACACACACACACACACACACACACACACACGTGTACCTATAGTGCACTTTGAGTTCCTGGGGAGAGATGTGCAGTATAACGGACCATGACCAGAGGACCTGGGCACACGGTGAAGGGTAGTTTAGATGACTCAGGATTCCCAGAATTCCTGAGGTTGCAGAAACTACCTTATGCATGGTTCTCTAGGCCAGCTGAAGAGAGGAGCAGAAACACAAAGCCTGCGTCCACATAGCAGGCCTTCAGCTGTTTACTCCTCCACACAAAGCCCTCGTTTATGTGACAGATGGGAGTTCATGCCTCTCTTCTCTCCCCCCTCGCCCTCCTCACTTGTTGTTCCTGTCCTCCCCGCTTTCTCCTCTCCCACCTTCTCTGCTTCACAGCTCTTCGTGAGCTGACTAAAGGGCCAGGGAAAGGGGCCGGGCAGACGGGATGTAAGATGCTAGAGGAAGGGTCTGTGCACACAGGCTGCCTGAATACACTGCCAGTCTCAACACTCACATTTGAAATGTATATTGGAGAAGGAAAACAAGCCTTTGACACAGTAGAGGCCACAGCAAATGTAAAAACACCATTAACATATCTGTGGCAGGCATGAATTACAAAAAACAGGCACACACATGCTCCTTCCGGGCCTGGCACTCCCAAAGAACACACGTAGACCTAACTTACTGAATATTTACTGCAATAAGTGTCTCCAAAGTCAGCTTTGGGAGAGAAGTGTGGAAGATTGGATGTGCAAAAGACTTTCCTCATGTAGAAGGCTGCTCTGCCCCTTTCAAACCCAAAGCACGACACCTAATGTTCCCAGCGTCGGCTTTTCCTGTAAATGAAGTCATTAGATATGTTGGTATCCGTAGTTTTCTCTGGCTCAATTATCTGTGATGCTAGAGCAATCCCATCAAGTCCCATAACAGATCTCTACCTACCTGACACGTATCTGCTCTGGGAGAAAGGAAGGTGTGCTAGGACCTGTGTGTAAGCAGAGAAGCGACAGTATGGGAAACAGGAAAATGCCAGTTCCGTAGGGACATGAACCCCACACACGGGTCAGAGACGGGATCTGAAAGAAAAGGACTAACAGGAGCAAGAGGCAAGATTTGGCACCTGCCTGGATGTCTGGGAGAAAAGAAAAATGATGAAAAGTTAAGCAAAAGAGGTGTGCTGCTGATCCCCCTGGTCACTTGCCATCCTTCTCAGTTTCCAGATGTGCTTCAGAGGCGTTCCCTAAGCATGCTCACACTGGCCCTTTTAGAAGTTTGAATGGGAGTCTGGTTCCACACAAGAATAATAACTGTCCTGCATAATTACCTCCACCCCTCCAAACAATAAAGAGTAAGGACCATCCTCCGCCCCGACCCACCCCCTTACCCCTGCTCAAAAAGATCAGGCCGCTATTTGAGCCCCAATAGCTACATCTGCAAATGATTAACTCCAGGGTTTATTACCAATTAGGACTGTAAATCTCTGCTTACTTTGGCTCCTGCAAAGTTGATTTCTCTGAGAGGTGGGGGGCTGAAAGGGACAGGGAGAAAGTCATTTGAGACCAGGGGGGTAGAAATCCAAGCTTAAAGAGACACACTTCAGATTCAAGAGGGAGCAGTTCTCAAGGGCCAGAGTAGGGAGCTAGCCGGGCAGGCTTGCCTCCTGAGCAAACAGCTGAACAGTGGCCCAGCCTCAGTGGAGATACAAGGACGATGCCATTGACAAGGGGTGTTGGACCTCAGTGGCCAAGCCACGGCCTCATTTTACCCCCAAGTTGCCCAGTAATCACTCTGCCTCTCAGGGACAGAACTTGGTTTTGAGTTTCTTTTGTGTGTGCCCTTTGTTATATGTGTGTGTGTGTTAAGTGTACTGAATGTGTGTGTGATATATGCAAACATGTATGTTTGAGTATTCACACCTCTGCAAGAGCATTCAGGGACCAGAGGAGGACATCTAGTGTCCTGACCTATATCACTCTCCACTTTGCTCACATGAGCCAGGGTCTCTGACTGAACCCCAAGCTAGGCCTGTAAGCAGAAAACCCGCGTAATCCTCCTGCCTCTGCCCCCACCCCGACTCCAGCTCTGCATGGGTACTGCACATGCATGGCCACATCAGCCTTTTTTTTTTTCAAGTCTTCACGCTTGTATGGCAAGTACTCTTGCCTACGGAGCAAGCCCTGCTTCTTACAGTTTACAGACTAGAAGTCTGTGAGGGTCAATCCTGGGTTCAAGGATTTGCCTCTGTAAGAGTGATGGGGATTGGATTTCAACCTAGATTCCACAGTCTTATAATAGTACTTGTGACTGGGGACACTATGATTCTTGCCTTTCCAGACCCTGAATTTCAAGGGCTTTTCAAATTGAAAAAGGAGGGTGATGTGCTATCCAAAAATACAGAAAAGAAACTTTAGTCATGTGAGTGCTGTGTTTTGCCAGAGAGGTGAATTTCCTTTGATGGGAATGGAGTCAACTCAGACATGGTATGCTGGACTTGTGCTCATCGGAAGCTCTGGTTCATGCATTTAACAAACATTAAGGGCCAGGTTTTGGCCAAGACTATAAACTAGAACTACCCAGCACAGATAATCTCATGACAGATGTTGTAAGGGCCATAACAGTGGCATGCACCACTAGGCAGTCTGCGAGTCCACACCAAAGAAAGAAGCAGCTTAGGAGTTAGCAATAGATCACTCCAGTGGTGAGTGTGAAACAGCAGGATCAATCAGAGTAACGTGTGTGTGCCGCTAAGAGGTGGAACAAAGGCCAAAGCCGTACACGGAGGCCAGGATAATAAAGTGTTCTGAGAAGGTTGGGGCTTGTGGTGGTTTGGGGCAGAAACATTACATACAGGAAAGGCAAATCCATAACCAGCGTAAATGTCTACTCCAGTAAGTGCTGTCCTTTCCATGGAAGTAGTGGTCCAAGGTAGTCAACCTGCCACCAGGTCTCTGGCTGGTCACCCCGGGGAATGGTGCCACATCTGGGGTTGTGGTCTCTGCTGTTGGCAGATCCGGCACTCAGCAGCAGCTGTAGCCAGGTCAGGCTTGGTGAGTGGAAGCCCATGTTGTTGAGCCCGTCTCTGCCACCACGGCCACTTTGTTCATGGGTCACTGGGCAATGACAGGAATGTCTGGGGAAAGAGGCTGACTGTCCACAGAAGGGGTCATCCTATCCACTTGATTACTGAACTCCTCCTCAGCTGAAGTCACCTTTTGATGAGCATTTACATGGGAACAAGGATCTTCACATCCTCTGCCTTTTTACAGAGATCTATCCACATACGTCTTCCCCAGACAGTGTCACCAACTTTTCAATCATGCTCTTTCCAAGTCCTTGACGAGCCTACCCATTGGCTACAGCCCATGAATCAGTGAACAATATCGATCTTGACCCAAAGGTAGCATGAAGAGCAAGTCACTGGGCCTGGCTTGGGCTTTTGAAACCTCAAAGTCCACCCCTGGTGTGAAACCGGCCACACCTCCTAATCTTTTCGAATAGTGCCACTCCCTGCTGACCAAGCATTTAAATCTATGAGCCTACGGGGACCATTCTTACTCTAACTCCCACAAGACTGTATCGCCAGTCTGTAAATACTAACCAGGACGGAAGATGCAAATTCCTGGCTCTGTGTGTGAGAGTAATGATGGGTGCCCACTGAGAAGGTGAGGGCTGAGGTGGCTGAAAGGGCCAGCTGTTGTCTAAAGAGGCATCTAGCTCTCACCTTCAGCTAAAACCTGACCTCTAGGAGTGCAAGGGCACTGTGGTCGGACTTTAGCGGAAGCGGCTTTACGCCAGTTCTCCTCAGCTTATTCTGGCTTTACTGCTGTTTAGTTTTCATTTTCTGAGTCAGGGTCTTACCATCCTGGCCTTGAACACCCATCCTTCTCCCTCGGCCTCCCCAGTGCTAGGATTACAGACAAGCCCCGCCACACCCTGAGATCTGCCAGTTCTGTGGCTGTGAGGGTGGACATGGAGGCTGTGCTTTGTGGTGGGAGGCGTGTGTTTGTACCCGTGCACGGGGAAGCCAGAGGTCAACCACGGGTGTTTTTCCTCAGGAGTCACACTCCTTAGATTTGAGACAGGGTCTTTCACTGAGACCAGGTACTCACCAGTTTAGCTAGGGTGGCTGGTCAGTGAGGCCCAGGGATCTGCTTGATTCCACCTCCCTAGAGCTTTATTAGCTAAGGCTACCACAAAGGAGCTTTTCATGTGGATTCTGGGGTGGGAACTCAGATCCTCCAGCTTACACTGCAAACACTTTATTGATCGTTCTCTCTCTCTCTCTCTCTCTCTCTCTCTCAGCTCCCAAATTCGAAGGGCATTTAATTCAAGCCTTAAATGTACATCACCCCAGCCCTATCAAGGGTGATCTCCCCAATGGCCCCAGGGATCCTAAAGCAACTGCTTATTCATTTACACTTTCTCCTCCCAACAGGTATGCTCATTTATTTTGGGTACGGCATCTGGAACAGCACCCTGGAAATCAGCGCCCGAGAACAGGCCCTGCACCAAAGCACATACCAGCGCTACGATGTGGATGACCCCTTTTCTGTGGAGGAGGGGTTCTCCTACGCCACTGAGGGCGAGAGCCAGGAGGACTGGGGTGGGCCAGCTGAGGACAAAGGCTTCCATTACCAACAGATGTCAGACGCGAAGGCAAACACCCGGACGAGCAGCAAAGCGAAAAGTAAAAGCAAACACAAACAGAACTCAGAGGCCCTGATTGCAAATGATGAGTTAGATTGCTCTCCAGAGTAAGGCTAAACTCGCAGGAGCCTAGAGAGGGTGGTTTCTCTGTAAATCGGCCTGTGTGCTAGAAGGCGGAAACTCTTCCCACTCATTTCACAAACCCAGCCTTCCCCAAAGTCCGTCCCCAGGCATAACCTGTCATTTGCTACTTTTGCTGTTCAGGAGAGTTCTGTTGAAGGGTTTTGCCCAGGGCCCTTAACTGACCCCCTTGTAAAAAAATCAAAATCAAAAGACTACATGAAATTCTATTTAGTGAGCTGTCACAGCCGATAACAGCAAATGTTTGCTTTACAGGATGGATCTTTGTGCTTCTTACTAAGACCTGAGGACACTTCCTCCAGCCCTGCTGAGGCTACAGGCCCTCCGGAGAGGACCCACAAAGGTGGCTGTGGGTGTGAAGCAGCTGTCTATCCCCCAGAGCCCAGCTGGGAGCTACTCCCCCAGGGCTGTAGGTCAGGCTGTTTCAGGATCTTCTCAGTGAGCAACACTGTGTTCTTATACCTTACCACCCCAAAACTATCCATGGAGGAGACCTGGGCTTCTCTTTACTCACCAAAGTTCTTACAGTTTCCAGACTATAATTTTAGGATCCAGAAAAGATAGAATGAAGCAATTATACAGTCCCCATAGTACAGTAAGAAATGCCATCAAAGCTTTACTTAAATGCCCAAAATAAATAAATAAATAAAAGCTTAAGTAACCTCTTGAATAGATGTCAGAAGGCATTGGCAGAAAGGAACTGTCTGTCATACATTCCCTTATGCCAGACTCTAAGTTCCTGGCGATATGGTGAAAGGGCAGAGGTGGAGTGTGATTCCATGCCTCTGATATGCCTGGAAGAAATAGGCTATTTGTTTTATAATCAGATAAAAATCTTTGCAAGGAAAAGTAACTCAGCCACTGAGATCACATTGCAAATCCTACTTCATATTTCTAAAATTATAAAATCTGCAGGGTTTTTTTGGTTTTTTGTTTTTTTTAGCTAGGTGACTACCTGATTGGATGCTGCTGCTTTGAAAACAGAGGTGTGGAAGGCCAGGTACTTGAGTCATCAAGCTCAGGGAGATCGCATTCCCACCCGGATCTCACTCCTCTGGGCTCGCTCACTGTTAGAGTATTTTTCCCATTAGTTCCCAAAGCACTTTCACTGAGGCCCAGGAAAATAGCTTCCTGGTAAGGTTTAAAGTATAGGCCACCAAAGGGTTCTTAAAAGAATTTTCTCCAAAACAGGATAGACGAATTTAGAACAGAGAAAACACGAGGTTTCAATAACATGTGTACACATGTGTATGAAAACAATTTTTCTCATACTAAGATTTTTGTGAGAATCTTGGAACTGGGTAAAAGAGCAAATTCCTTGCCCTCTCCTCAACTTATCATCGGCCAAAACTTTTCATGAATATCAACTAACATCCACATCTTTTCTTTCTTAGTCTGAAGCTCATGTTTTCTTGGCATGTATTAAAGTTACAGGGAGAAGGCATGCTCCTGTTGAGCTGACTGACTGAAATATACCAAGGACTAAGGGGAGGCCATGAGGAGATCTGTAACTTCAGCCCTTGGGACGTAGGAGACAGGGAGGTGCAGGGGTGAAGGCCCATGACAGATGTGAGAGGCTTCAACACAACAGAGCAACTGAAACTATTTTTTTAAGATAATGCTTTTAGATAAATTGCATACCATGCTCTTAGCCAATGTATGCTATTGCATTCAAATAACTACATTTTAAAGATCTCGTTCATCACTCCATATTAATTCTGTAGAACCCTGGCTTCTGGTATTCATCGTATCATTTTTATGTGATGTCTGACAAAGCTGTTTCCTCTTGCCTAAACTTAACCATCACAAAGCAGTGCCTGGCCTGTAACAAACTACCCTAGAGAATTCACTGTAAAATAATTATGAGTCATGTTTGTTAAAACTAAGTTTTGAACTGATGTAGGATGCAAGAAATCTGCCTACTTTAAACATCTGTTAGGCTGGGTCCACTTCTCGGTAGAGGGGGTAATGGTCTCTTCCTTAGATATGTTTAGGAGAAATATGGAAACAAAGCGACGAATCTTAACGTGGGTGGAAAGTTATGTCTTATTGATGGTGTTTAGGTATTAAAGTAGCAATGGTCTGGTGGCAGGTGTGTGCTGTTTCTGTAGCGTAAGAAGGAGCATGGGCTTTATCAGTTAATGGCAGTGGTGTTGCTTCTGTGCAGAGCCAATGAATTATTCTCATTTTAGAAACCATTTTTCTCAGTTAGTAGCTTTAGATGTTTGCTCTCATCATTTTTCTAAAATTGTTGGGGTTATCTTCTTAGCTATCTTGGTTTTTAAAAAATATATATATGGTTTGGAAAGTTTTCTCAGGTATATAGAATGTTTTTAACCATGTTTCTTGGCTCCTGTGAAGGAGTCCCAGGTTTCACAAGGAAGTTTTCAAATACCATCCTATCTGAACATTGTATTTGTGAGACTGCATTTAAAGTAGGAGTACTTTATAAATAATTATCTTAGAAAAGCTCTTCTGGTGGGGTTCATGTACGCAGGATGTGTAATTTTGGAGCCAATAGTTTAATATTTTTAAATTGTATTCTGTTTATTTACTCTGCATCATTTCAGAAAGATTAGAGGCAGCTATTAAAACACATGTGCTCCAAAACAAAGGGGAGTAATACAGTCAAAACGGAAGGAGAAAGGCTAACACACAGTCAGAAACGTGTGCCGGGCACAAGCGCAGGACATCCGAGAGCTTTGCTGAGTTTTCCAATGAAGAGCACCTCAGAAAGCAATTGACTTGTCAGTAATGACAGCCAACACCGCTACATGCTAAAGATAAATAAATAAATAAATAAATAAATAAATAAGCCTTGCCCCCCACGAGGGCAGACTGTTAAGACAGCACAGACCACTGAAGTTCACAGAGAAGCTCCAAAATTAGATTACACTAGCCACATGTGCCTGACGGAGAGTCGTTATCAAGAAATATCTGCTGGGAGGTGGCGGCGCAAGCCTTTAATCCCAGCCCTTGGGAGGCAGAAGCAGGCAGACCTCTGAGTTTGAGGCCAGCATGCTCTATAGAGCAAGTTCCAGGACAGCCAGGACTGCACAGAATAGCCCTGTCTAGAAAAAGGAAGGAAGGGAGGGAGGGAGGGAGGGAGAGAGGAAGGGAAGGAGGGAAGGAGGGAGGAAGGAAGGCAGGAAGGAAGATCTTGATTGGTTGAATGGGAAAAAACGAGTGAATGGATGAAATAGAGGAAAATAAACTACCTATGCAGTAGTTATTCATAGAGTGCCTGTCATGTGCTATGGCATATTCTGATGCCGTAAGTGAAAGGTTCAGTTCTTAACAAGTAAGATCTAAAGGCTGGCCAGACAGCTCAGAGGGTCAAAGCAACCGATGACTTCAGTTCGATCCCTGGAACCTGCATAAAATGGAAGACGTGACTCCACATGCCTGCTCCCTGACCTCCACATGGTTGTTCTGGAACGCATGTGCACACACACACACACACACACACACACACACACACACACACACACGCACACATGCACACATGCACACACGCACACGCACACATCATGCATACACATGCAGTAATCATAAACGAAGTTTGGAAGAAATTGAATATATTTAAAACAGTAACGAAGATGGCAGGTGGGATGGAGATAATAGCGTGCTTTGGGCTTTAAATGTGGGAGACACCTCCCCACATAGGAAAGAAGAAAGAATACAGTAGACACATGCAGCCTGTGGAAGTGGCAGCGTCTTGACGAGGTAGAAACGAAAGAGGGGCGTGCCACGCCGAGGAGGGCTAAGATGCCGACTGTGAGTGAGCTGCCCTCTGAATGTTTTCCTCCAGGAAAAACAAGGAGCTGGTTTGGCTGTAGCTATGATTTGTGTGTGATTCACATGTGACACAGTAAGAATAAGGCCAGGAAAGTGGGGAAGGGACCACTTACAGACTCCAGTGACAAGCCCGTGGTTCTCCGTGGGTGGGGTGTACTTGTTGGGGTGGGGTGAGTCAGGCAAGGTTGGACTTGAGAAAAACTGGGCAGTGGCATCATTGCCCAGTAAAGGAGCAAACAGATCACACACAGACACATTTAGCATAGTAACAGAAATTCCATACTCAAAGCAATGCACTGCTCTTCCTTCCTTATGTTTTATGTAATCTTCTGACATGCAGACACGCAACACGATTTTTCAACCACTTTACAGTTTTCAGTAATTCCTTTCAATGACCAAATCTAACAGCTTCTTGTATCCACCTAATCTGAATAGTGAAACCTCCACTCCTGGCTTGACCTCAATTGAGCTCCAAACTGGTTTAAACTAGAGGGAGAAGATGAGTGTTAGAATTATGCAAAAAAAAAATCCTGGTCTGCCTCTTAGTAAGAGCAAGCCCTGGTGCCTCAGTGCTGGCCGGAATACTACAAATGCAGTCGCTATCAGGAAGAAAGACTCAGAGAAAGGTCTGCTCTGCTGAAAAGGGTGGAGAAATTGGACACCCTTTGAATCGTGCTTGTTGGAAATCACATTACCAGAGAATCCCTCTTGGAGATATATAGAATCATAAATAGAACTTCCACCTGTCTGAGTATCCAGCTGAAAGGCTAGGGGAAACTGATGTCCTATTTTTCACTGGGTTTTTACCGGGAGCCTGGGAAGTCCCTGAGACTCAGCCACAGGTTTGCCTACGTTTCCGCTCATGTTAGAATGTTCTGTGATATAAAGTCAAAAGTCAGGAAATAAGCTGGAGCCAGAGCTGGATCAGTTCCGGGGTCCTGTGGACAGTGGTCCACTCTTGGGCCCCAGGCTCCACATAGGGAGTGGGCGGGAGATGGCTTCCATTTCCCACACACGGGGTAGGAAAAGGAGGAAAGGAAGGCAAAGGTGGCGCCTGAGTGGTGGGACTCCTCTTCATTCTCAAGCGTGTTTCCAAAAGGCTTGTTAAGAAGGGTGTTTCCAGCCGGGCGGTGGTGGCGCACGCCTTTAATCCCAGCACTCGGGAGGCAGAGCCAGGCGGATCTCTGTGAGTTCGAGGCCAGCCTGGACTACCAAGTGAGTTCCAGGAAAGGCGCAAAGCTACACAGAGAAACCCTGTCTCGAAAAACCAAAAAAAAAAAAAACAAAAAAAAAAAAAGAAGGGTGTTTCCGACCCCTGTTTATGACACCATCGATCTTGCCTCTTGTCACCCTCAGGTATTTAGCTTATCTGCAGAGAGGCCCTTTGGAGACCCTAAGATCAGCAGTTAATCAGCAGTGGCCTGACCGTGAAAGAGTCCATAGTTTCAGTTAACATTGTTTCAGGCTAGAAACAGCATCTCAACCCATAGTGTCTACACCAGCAGGGCCAGAAGGCTGCTTCCTCCCAGAGCGGTCACTGCATTTTCAGTAGCCATGGTGACAGGTGAAAGAAAGCCCCTGCCAGTCCCAGTCCCATGTCCTGTTTTACTTTCTCTGAGACATTAGAACAGAGACTGGCTCATTTGCTTTTGCTTTTGTTTTATTTTTTCTTTCTGAAATGCTTCATCTCACACCGCCTCTCTCCCTCTGCTTCAGCAACTCACGAATCATCCTAAAACACTTAGGCACCTGCCTTTTGCCAAAATTACTTCTCTAAGAAATACAAAACGTGAGGCTGTCGAGACAGCTCAGTGGTTAAGAGTACTTGCTGCTCTTCCAGAGGACCTGAGTTTAATTCCCAGCACTCACGTGGCAGCTCATAACTACCTGTAACTCCAGCTCCAGGATGTCCAACGCCCTCTTCTGGCCCCCTCAGGCCCTGTGCCCATGTGCACATACTCAAACGCATACACATAATTTTTTAATAAAAATAATTCTTTGAAGAAACATGTGATGTCCTCTTTTCCTGTTTAGGGCTTAAAGCCCAAAGGGATTAGTGAAAATTTAAAGTCCATGAGGAATGCATATGTATTCTGACATATCAGCTAGAAATAGTGTTGAAATCACTCATCAGTACATGCATGGAATCACAGCCCAAAGGAGACTTCCAAAAAGACATTGTAGGTTTGGCTCTAATCTTTTACTCTTTCTGAATATTTAGTGCATGTTGGTTCATACAAGGAAGAAAAATAGTGTTCTGTTGGAAGTAGGAAACAAGGGCAGCCTGGATTTTTGTGTTAAGAACCTCCTCCGTACTTTTTGGTTTCTGTTTAGCTTTCCTGATATTAACACTGGTGGTATTGGCTAAAGGAAACTGTGGGTCATGTGGGTTTTGTCAGGAGTGCAGACTCTGACAAAGAGTGTTCATTCTGACGTTGGGATAATGTCCTGGTCCATGGACATCCATTGAGTTTTCTTGGCAGTTGCTAATATACTAGTCACATTCATAGTCATGAAGGTGAGAATTTACACTGGAAGTCATAAGCACCCCACTTCCCAAAGCGAAGACGCTGTTAATGTTCTAAAAGCACCTAAATACCTCAACTATCTGGGCTGAGAAGAGGAGCTGCAGGCTTTTAAGAGGGCAGCTGATGTCCTCATTCCGTGTAGTCAAACCGACAGGACCCGCCACTCTCCTTCTCACTGTGGAAAAGTAACATGATCATTTCATTCACATCCCAAAGTTATAAACACAACCTGTAAATTTCACTAACTTGTTTCAGTTTCGTTTGCTCCTTAAAAAGTACAACTTGCATTTTGCAGATGGTCATTTCTAGTGTGTTCTCTGCAACTTTCTTTTTCTGTATGAAATTGCTGTGTTGTTAATGTGTGTTCGTTTTTGTGGTTTTAATTCCCATTGGTGCACTGTACAATGGGATGTTGTAACGTACCATGAAGAAAAGGATAATATGCAGATGTACTATAAAGTGTGTTTTATTTTCAAATGACTGTGCTGTTGACAATATTTTGATTTATCAAAATACTAAGGGAAAGTTATAAATTTACCAAAATGTGTATATTTTAATAAATGCATAAAGCTTTATTGTGTGCCTTTACATTTAAATTTTGGTTATTAAAAAAGTCAGAAACAAAACTGTCTTGCTGTTAACTATCCACAGTAATGTAAAGCTTTAACTCGGAGAACTACCCGAAGAGGGAGGAGAACCTGAAGCTTCCTGTGCTACCTAACATCACAGTGTCTGAAGTCTGCTACTTTCCTCCATCCCAAAATGGAGATGAGTGAGTGACTCTCAGCTTACCTATTCCAATTATCCTTTGTAGAAAACAGAGAGAAATGGCCTCACTTAAAACTACTCACCTTATTGTGGAATATTCATTTCCAGCATCAAAATGTTTTCAAAACCACAGCTTATTGACTAACAAATGTAAACTTGCAAAAAATCAGAGCTGTCCAACATTTAAATTCACTTTTCTCCTTGGAGGAGGGCACAGAATCTCTACCTGAGCGACCTTCCAGAAGAGCCTTCCTTGGTCACTTTCTATTGGGACTTCACTCATGATGGCCTCCTTTACTGTCCCATCCTCAGTGCCACAGCCACTGCCCCACAGTACGATCCTAATATTAATGTGGAACATTCAACTCATTTTTCCTATCCATTTTAAAAACAAATTAGGAAAACACTGACAGGCCACCATCCCAAACCAGTCACCACGGTACAAATGATGGCTTAACGTCTTTTTTAAAACAGGGTTTCTCTGTGTAACAGTCCTGGTTGTCCTGGAACTTGCTTTGTAGACCAGGCTAGCCTCGAACTCATGGAGATCCACCTGCCTCTGCTTCCCAAGTGTTGGAATTTAAGGCATGTGCCACTATCATCTGGCAATGTTGTCTTTTTTGATGCCATAGAATTACACCTGATGATAACGATCCAGGACTGGTGACATTACCTGTAACCCCAGAACTTATGAGATGGAAGCAGAAAGGTCAGGAGTTTGGGGTAGTATTGAACTATGCTACAAGTTCAAGGCCAGCCTGGGCTACCTGAGACCCTGTCCATAAAAGGGGGGCAGCAAGTTCAGATCTCCATCATCCATGTAATGCGGGACATGTTAGTGTGCACGTACAACCCCAGCATTCTTATTATATGAGAACATTAGATGAGAAGCAGGAACAGGCGAATCCCTGGAAGCCCCAGACGTCCAAGGGCCAGCTAGCCTGTTCTGTGCAGTGGTAAATAAACAAAAGACCCTGTGTCAAATAAGCTGGGAAGTGAGGACAGACACTCAAGGTTGTCTTCTATCCTCCACTCATGTAGCATCACACATACATACACAAGAACTTGCATGATCTCAGAAGGAAGGAAGACAGAGAACACAGGTGAAAACTAGCATGTTCTGGGTCTTCAATGGCCATGGCTGCACACTGGCTATCTAGATAAATCCCTGGACAGGTGATCTCTAAAGAGGACGGGGCCATCTGGTCATCTGGGCTTCAGGGTGGTGCTTATTGTCCAAATCCACAGTCAGACATTGAACTCAGTTGTTAACTTTCCTGCAAACTGGTGCCTCTCCACTCAGAACCAAAGCCTTTGCTGGTCCACTTCAGAACCCATTGCATGTGGTCCTGAGACCCAAGGGACCAGATGCACCACTTCATGTGGTGATATTTTATTTGTGCTCTAAAGATCAGAGGATAAAACTAGCTACTGTATTAAATACAGAGGTCGGGCAGTGGTAGCACCATGTCTTTAATCCTAGCATTCGGGAGACAGAAATTCATCCAGATCTCTGTGAGTTCAAGATCACACTGGAAACAGAGTCAGGCATGGTGACACATGCCTTTAATCCCAACACTAGTTAACCATAGAGGTCTGGAGGTCTGTACAGACAGACAGGAAGTGATAGAGCTGGGTGGAAAGAGGAAAGTGACATAGGTGGGCGGAGAGAGGAAGTAAGATAGCAGGGCACAGAAAAGTATATAAGCATGAGTATACAGGAAGTAGCTCTCTCTTTGGCTGAGGATTTCCTAGAGGTAAGACATGGCTGGCTTGCTCTCTGATCTTTCAGCTTTCACCCCAATACCTGACTCCAGGTTTTTTATTAATAAGACCATTTAGCAATTCAAGTTACAACTTGAGGCCTAGGTATACAGACATCTCCTCTTCCAACAACACACTATCATTTCTGGGCTCTGTTCACGAAGGCTTTGAGCCAACATGTGCCGCAGATTCCCTTGAGGATGATGAATAACTTTTCATCCAGCCATTATTGAAATTGGTAAGTAAGCTAAGAATGGTAGGATGTTAGATAAGAGGTAATAAATACAACTAATTTTTATTAATTTTTATTTTTTTTAATTTTTTTGGTTGTATTACATTTTACTATCTGTGTTCTTGAGATTATTCATCTGTGTGAAGGGACTACTAGACAATGATCTCACTTCTCTCCCCAACTCTAGTTCACATCACTGGCTTGAAATTAGCTGTAGAAACTGACAAACTTTTTTTTTAATGGCACTGGCTTTTGTTTTTCACAAGAAGTTATTATGCACACATTTAGCTGTGCATCCCTGCTTACATCCTTCCCACATCACTGCTTACATCCATCCTTTCCACATCACTGCTTACATCCATCCTTCCCACATCACTGCTTACATCCTTCCCACATCACTGCTTACATCCTTCCCACATCACTGCTTACATCCATCCTTTCCACATCACTGCTTACATCCATCCTTTCCACATCACTGCTTACATCCTTCCCACATCACTGCTTACATCCTTCCCACATCACTGCTTACATCCATCCTTCCCACATCACTGCTTACATCCATCCTTTCCACATCACTGCTTACATCCATCCTTTCCACATCACTGCTTACATCACTGCTTCCCACATCACTGCTTACATCCATCCTTTCCTACATCACTGCTTACATCACTGCTTCCCACATCACTGCTTACATCCATCCTTTCCTACATCACTGCTTACATCCTTCCCCACTAAGTATACCACTCACCTGCCCACTGTTGGGAGATTTCTTTGCTCCACCTCAGCAGTATTGTGGGGAGGGTCTGAGCATGTATTTTCCTCTTCTCCATCTTACCTGTGTTTTTCTTCCCCTCCCCATCACAGGGTGGCAACATCAGATAGTTTTCAATCATCCTTTAGTCTGACTAGACCTCCCTACTGCATAGTGTCCTTCTTCTTGGAAACTATTAGTCCCATAACTGGTAGAATGGTTGCCCCTTTTTTTTCTACCATGGAAGAAACTGCAAATCGTATCAAAAAGAGGTCACAGGAAAGCCTGGCACCAGAATTGCCAATATTAAAAATGATTAGATTAATATTCTAAAATACAACCTTACATGTGGATCTCACACATAGAGGGTTATTGAATAAGTGTTACAGTGTGGGTAGACTGGGTTTTTGTCCACTAATCGGGAGAAATGTAAACTATTGTAGTTCCTATAGAAAATAATATGACATTACCTCCAAAGTATTTCACAATGAAATTACCATGTGATCCAGCAATTATATATAATATATATTATATGCATGCAAAAGAATTAACAACAGGATCTTATAGATATATGAATGCCCCTGCTCACAGCTGCATTATTCACAATAGAAAACCATGGGTGCAGCCCAGGTGCCCATCAGTGAGCGGGTCAGCAAACGTGGCAAATAGCAACAATGGAATATTCCACATCCAAAGGACAGAAAACCTGACACAGGCCACAGGGTGAATTTTGAAGACATCATGTTAAGTGAAATGAGCCTGTCACAAACAGCAAGTGCTGTAGGATTCCACTCCTGTGGAGTACTCAGAGAGGTCAGATAGAGACGGAAGTGGAATGAGGCTGCCAAGGGCTCTGGAGGGCAGAGGGACTCTGGAGGGCAGAGGGGCTCTGGAGGGCAGGGGGGCTCTGGAGGGCAGAGGGGCTCTGGAGGGCAGGGGGCTCTGGAGGGCAGGGAGGCTCTGGAGGGCAGGGGGGTTCTGGAGGGCAGGGGGCTCTGGAGGGCAGGGGGCTCTGGAGGGCAGGGGGCTCTGGAGGGCAGGGGACTCTGGAGGGCAGAGTGGGTTCTGGAGGACAGAGGGGCTCTGGAAGGTAGGGGGCTCTGGAGGGCAGGGGGGCTCTGGAGGGCAGGGGGGCTCTGGAGGGCAGGGAGGCTCTGGAGGGCAGAGGGACTCTGGAGGGCAGGGGGGTTCTGGAGGGCAGGGGTCTATGGAGGGCAGAGAGTGTGGTTTAGAGCATGTAGCGTTTCATTTTTGCAGGATGAGGTATTCAAGAGGAAGTACTGGTAACAGCCACAAAATAATGTCTTCGATGACACTGAGTGATGCTGAAGATGGCGAATTTCATGTCACATTTATTTTTTCACAGGCTTTTTAAACATTTTTTTCTTTATTAAAAAATTTTCTACTCACTCCACATACCACCTGCAGATTCCCCCTCCTCCCTCCTCCCTCCTCCCACCCCCCAGCCCTCTCTCCCAAGCCACCCTGCATCCCCACATCCCCCAAATCGAGGTCTCCCATGGGGAGTCAGCAGAGCCCAGCACATTGAGCCCAGGCAGGTCCGAGCCCCTTCCCACCGCACCAAGGCTGTTTACACAGGTCTTTTAATTGAAAGTTTTTAAATCAGAGTGTCAGAGTTGCTTCAGAGGCAACTGCTTCTTAAACCATAACTTTAAAACTATTTTTTAAATCAAGTATTTCAGGGGCTGAGAGATGGCTAGGCCAGCAAATGGGCAGTGAAGTCTGAGGCTTGGTTCAGATCTCCAGAACCCACATGAAAGCCAGGCATGGCAGAGACCTGTAATTCTAGCTCTGTGGAAGCAGAGACAGGGGGATCTGGAGCTCACATTAGCCAAATCAGTAAGCTCCAGTTCAGTGAGAGGTCCTGTCTCACAAAATAAATAAATAATAAATAAACAAAAATTAATGACGCTGATGATGATGGTGAGGTGGAGACACATTATATCAACCTTTGTCTTCACACCACACACAATCAGATGTTCCATTAGAAATTTTAGAAATTTCATATCCCTAACATTAAATTGACACTCTCCTGTGTT